CTTCCGACCAGGAACAGCTCCGTGCACCTCTCCCATGGGTGCACACTACCCAGAAGGGCGTTTGTCTAGCCCCTGTACAAATACGTGATGGTTCCCCACCCCACATGGCCACAAATTTCTTCCAGGAAGTCTTCTCTTGCCCGTGGCTGTGTTTAACCTGCCCCAGCAGAAGAAAAAGGCCTAAGGAGATCCAGCAGGTTCTGTTACCCTTATGTTAGACTTCACTGAAGGATAGAAGTTGGGAAAAAAAAGGTTGAAAAAGATAACTGCACTAGAAAACGACTTGCAAGCAGATGGATTCCCTCTAAACACTGATTTTCCTGGCATTTGGGAGAGGCCATCGATCTCAGCTTTTCAGAAGGAGATTTTGCTAATTGCTACATGCCAGGAGGATTTGTTCCTGTTTGAAACCAAACCTGCTCCAATTTTTTCGCCCACGCGAGGTCGGCCCCCGCAGGGACAGCGCTGGGGGCTGCCGAGAGGGGAACCCCGCTAAACGCGAGGGGAGGCAGCAGCCTGCCCCCAAAGCCGGGTGCTAGCACCGCCTCATCTCCTTTTCCTCCTCCTGATTTCTTTTTCCCCTCTGCAGTAGGAGACAGCGGTAGCTCGGGCGAGGAGCGGATCTCACTGCGCTACGGGCAGCGGGGCAGCTCTCCGAGGAGCATGCTCTGAAAGGTTATAGACTGCCTGCCCTGCTGCAGACGTACAGCCTGTCCTCTCCATGTCACCCTCTCAACGAGCCTGAGTTCAGTTTGAAGGTCTAGCGGTGAAGCTACTGGCCGGGAATTAGCAAAACAGCTCCAGATTGCTTCCCCTCCACTCTGCAATGAGCTAGGAGGGAATGGTACAGGTAGACCTGACTATTCCCAATTCCTGCCCCCGCCGCCTCCCAGGGAACAAGTGCCACCAGTGTCAGGAGGGCTACGGGGAAGAAAATGAACTCACAAAGAACATCCAACCCTCCGGCACTGCTGTAAGCCCCCTGATCACCCTACCATTGTGATTCCCAGGCTCCAGATATCAGATTTGACGCTGTATCCCTTCTGGTTTAGCTCTGGGTTAATCCTTTCAGGCTGCAAAGAGAGACAAAGATAGGTGGAGGATTATGGATGGCTCCAGTTCAGTGCTCCCACACCCAGGGCTCTTCGGCGTGAGCCACCACACACTCTGGCACAGCAGCCAACCTAAGCCGGGTCTTTTAAGAGTGGCAGGCCAGGACTACCTATCCCAGGCCACTCAGTTTGCTCTCTTGGCCACCTTGGGGCCAGATTTGGTTGCACATCCTTGCCAGTAAGGGCAGACGGGGAAACGGGTCACCAGAAGCAGATCCCTGTCCAAGAGACTGGAGCAGTGGAGCTGGCTCAGACACATCTGGCACCTCAGAGGTGACAAACCTCTGTTCTCCAGAACTGTTTCCACCCTGTGAAATGGCTCCCCAGAGAGAGAGTCATGAATGGCAGCTCCCAAGGAGGAGCCTAAAGGACCCAATCCCTAGGGATTATTTTTTCTCCCAGAAGGGAAGCGTTAATGTCCCAACAGGGCAAGCAGTAAAAATGCAGCACAGAGTAATTACAGACCCCTCTCAAGGTCAGAGGCAGCAAAGGAGCAGGAAGCAGTGCCCAGGAGGCCTGATATGACCTCTCCTCTCTCCCCGTTTACATATAACTTCAGAGATACATCTTCCAAATTGAGTCCCTAGGACACATGCCGGACACTGATCCTTCTCTTTTAGGACGACCCGATGCCCAGTCTCATATTCCTCTGGCTGCCCTGCAGCAGGTTTCACACCCGGCTTCTGCGCAGCTCAACTTACAGCCATATAGGGTTTGCATCCTGCGTCCATGGTTTTAGCAACCGAGTCAACGAGGTAACCGCTAATTCCAAAATCGCACATTTTCACCTGCCCCTGTGTATTGATCAACACGTTAGAGGGCTTTACATCTGCAAGAAGGAACACATATCACAGTCACTGTCACGCATGGGTGGCTGTACCAAGCCAAAAAAGCTAATGAGCTTCCTATCAGTAGAGGGCACCAAAGGCACCCGTGCAAACCTCACCACTGCAACTCAACAGAAACCCAGGAGCTACTACAAGTGAAGCAACTGCTTCACAGGCCTGTCATATGTCCTGCAAACGCCCCTTCTGATGTGACTTCCCCTTCTGATGTGACTGAGTGGGCCATGATACTGCGTGTGGTCACCTCATCATAGCAAGCAGGGGATTGCGATGCATCATCAGACAGCTCAGAGAGCAACAACCTCAGGAGGGCTAGGAGCATCTCCAGAGGATGTCTGCAAAAGTCCAATGCGCTGGTGAGTCACCAGCTGGAGCTGCTCTCATAGCAGCATAAGGAAAAACCACATCGGAAAAGGCTGAGGAGTGAGTAGAAAAGGGGGAAGAGAAGTGTGTGTCTCGGGGGAACGAGGGAGCAGTAAACTAAGACAGAAGGATCAAGATTTAAGAAGTGACCTCTGATTTTAAGATTCCCGAGCTTGAAGGCAATGTAAACAACAGCAGGCATGTGGGTGCTCCACACGTTATGGAAATCAGGCCGATGTCTCATCTATTACTGTCAGATTTATCTGATTCCCATCACGGCCTTATAATCCTTGGTGTACCCACATTTGCATCTCGCTCATGAAGCCAGCTATAATCACCACCAAAAAGGGAAGTTAAGGCCCAAGAAAAGGCTAGAGGTGATATACACAGGAGCACGCAGGTGCTTTCCTGTACAGCAGAGAATCCCTCCCGATGAAACGACTCCCAGATTAGATCTCAACACAAAGTCCATTTCCTGAGCTGATTCCAGTGACTAGCAGAGCTCTGCGCTGATGCAGAGAACAGAGGCTACCCTGCTTTCTCTTGTCCCAGGACTCATCCTCAGAACGGAGCAATCTTTCTTTCCCTGTTGCCACCCAGAAATATAAGGTCTCTTCTGAGAGAAGGTCCTCTATCTTCATATGACAAACTATGAAATAGAGGAGCTGAAACACTGTCTGAAGGAGGCCAGTGGCCAGAAGCCACTTTTGAGTCCTGCTCTTTAGAACTGAGTGGTTTACAGTTGGTTAACATCCTCTCTCTACTCAGTGCTCTGCAGCCAAAAGCTTCAGGTATCTGAGATCCTCACCCATCTGTTATTATGTTAAAATAACACTATTTCAGTGGAAATCAAACAAGCAAACAGAAATCCAGAAGCTGAGCAGCATTTTCCACCCACTTTAAATTACACAGAAGGCAGGAACTCAACCCCCAGCCACATGCATAATGTACAAAACGTGACCGCCTGTTACAGCTGAACTCCCTTCCCTTCAAACAGTTCTTTCCCCAGCAGTCACACACTCCAGAGAGGGCTTTTTCTTCCTCATGACAAATTGAAAATGATCTTTTAAAAATAAAGGTGTCAAGCAGCAACACTGCACATTTTTTTTCTCTCTAAGTATGTTTATAGCATCCTTGAGATGCTCTAAGGAGGAAAATGTCAAAAGAGTTTAAGGAGGGTATTCATGAGTTCACCTGATGCTATTTTAGACACCCATTCTGCCCCATAGGAATTAGGGGACAGCCACAGAACGGGATGGTGACTGGTTGCATGACTGCATGAGCCATCATGCTGGGGGGAGACACCGTTCACCTACATGCCAGTGAAGAGCAGCATTCCTCTGCCATGCTAGGGGAGAAGCCTGCAAGCACATAGCCTCATCCAAAGCCCAGCAAGGTCAGGGAGAAAGTCTTTTATTAATTTTGTGGAGGTGTCCAAGCAGAGCGTGAATTAGTCCTTCTGATCAGGGAAATGCAATCCAGGGGAAGCCAGCCAGGCTGCAGGAAAATAACCCTTTCTCTCTGCCAGCAGAATCAGGCTGGAGGCCACTCCTCTTCCACCTCAGTGGGAAATGTTGGGGAGAGCATGGAATTTTAAAGAGCAAATCAGCAGACATTTCCTCAGACTAGGCTTTACTAATCCTTAGACGTTAGGGAATAATTTTGCCGTCAAAGCCCCATTTTAGCCTGGGTACTTTGGGAGCACTATGCCTGGCTGCAAGGCCAGCCCTTGCTAGGATAAGAGTACCCGGCGCAGGGCTGAGAGAAGCCAGCACAGTCACTGGCTGTGTGGATGGCACTTACCTCTGTGGATTACGGAGAGCTTACTGTGTAGGTGTTCTAGTGCTTTTACGATCTGAAACAACAAATCTAGAGTGAATCAGAGCTGGCAGCACTGTGATGGGGAGGAACTGCCCCTTGGCTTCACTTCCCCCTTATCCTCATCGGAACTGCTTCAAGGGAAGTAACAGTCTCCCAAAAGGCGGTGAGTCCTGCAGGCAAGCCGTGGATAAGACTCCTCCAGCAACTCTGCAGAACCTTGCCATGGAGACCTAGGAGCCTCCTTCCCCCTCAAGCCTTCCTTCACCTCCTGGTGGTGCACAAAATCCACCACTTTTCTCTAGCCTTGGATTTCTCAGCTCTAGGGACAGCCCTGGGAATAAATTCCTCTCCATCAGTTAGTCCTGATCTCCCACTGGTTTCTAATTTGTCTCTCTTCCGCTGTGGCCAGCCCGGCTGTCACTCCATCACCAAAAGTGAGCCTCAGTTGACCCCCATCCCTCTGTCCTGCAGCAGCCAAGGTGATGGTGATGACCCAGGGATCTCCCAGGAACGGCAGGAGAAGGCAAAGCAGCTGTAGAGCCCTCCCCACATCTAACGCTGTGCTGCCTCTTAACTACAATATGTAGAGGCACATTTTGGAGTACTTATGGCTTACGAAGAACCTCATCTCAGACCAAATACTGGAAGCCACCTAGGGATGTACCTACGTGCTGGCTGGTGGGACAAATTCTTTCCTGTGCAAAGATGGAAGGGAAGGTGAGTCATGAAGCTTAGAGAGGCTTAGACAGGAAACCTCCTTTCCCTTCCCTCTTCCCTCCTCCCCTTGCTAATACTCACAGAGACGGCTATTTTCCCTAAGATGTCTTCAAGAATCGTCAGGCCTTTGTCAATGACATGTTTGTAGAATTTGTCCAGTGAGGTATCCATCAGCTCCATGCAAATCCACACATCTCCCTGGAGGAGAAAGAAAGTAAATATCTGTCCCCTGGAACAGATCGTGCTTCCCTTTCATGTACAAAGGTCTTCTTTAACGTTTGCCCCTTGCTGGCCTATTTGTCTCTTCCCTGTCTTCTAGAAGAAGAGCAAAACTCCACTGGGCCTTCTCTTTCTCTCCTTTCAAGCTGGAAGTAAATGCTGTCCACCTTCACTAATGTTTAGGGTGAAATTGCTGCTCTTTCTTCCCAAAGCAGAGTCCTCATGATTTAGGAGTCCCGCAAGTTAACAGGATTGAGGCTCCTAAGTGCTCAGGTCACTCCGCAAATGTTGAGCCAGGAAATGTTCAGCTCCACAGAGCTGTGCTTAAATTCTTCAATAAATCTTGCTCTCCAGAGCTTTTCCTCCATGTGGCTTTCTCACTGCAAGTCAGGACAATATTAGCTCTGAAGGATCACGTTGTGAGTTGGTGCCCTCGGCACCCGGTTGTCCCCATCAGTCAAACCCCTGACCAAGTCCAAGTGTCCTAGCACAGAGGCCTCCCCACGCCCTCATCTGCCCTCTGCTCCTCCTCGCGTGGGAGCGTGCCTCTCCTTGTGTGCCAAGAAATGACCCTACGCAACATGCTCAGGCAGCGACTGAGCAAATCCAAATTCTACCAAGTCTTCACATCTAGTGAGAGATTAAAACACCTGGCTTGGGGACTCGGAGGGAGTCCAGGTCAGAGCCTGGGATGGATCCAGCCTCCCAGGCAGACAGAAGAACAGAAATGGACTTTTGATAGAGCCCAACCTTCTCTTCTCTAGCAGTGCCCATGACGGGTGTCCTGAGCCCACAGGCTAGGGGCAGGGCAGAGGGTTTCTGGGATGCCATACCTCTCGAAAAAGCGCCCCATAGAAGGTGACAGTGAAGGGGCAGTCTACCGTTCTCATGGAGATATCCAGATCCATCAGTAACCTCTTCTGCTCCTGGCTGTTCACTGTGGCTCGGATCCGCTGGAACACAAAGCATTTCAGCATTGGCCATCAGCCTCTCCATAGCACGCTTCCTGTGGCTGCGCGGGGACACGTGCAGCGTGCCTGGAGTAGCCCAGCTGGCCTCAGTGCCTTGACATTGTGCTTGTCCTTTACCCTTTTATCACATGTCTTTGCGCTACTCTTTTATTTCTCCTCTTTGTGGGAGGCATGGCAGACGCACACCACCCACAGTGGGAGCACTGCCATGCCACAGGGAGCGATGGAGAAGGGGTCTTCACACCTCACCCCACACTGCAGGCGATTTTGCTCTTCCCTGCTAACACTACTCTTTTTACAACAGCCAAAAGTTGCTGTGGTTTGGGAGAGGAGGAAGGTGCAGGAAATCAAATTCTAGGCTGGTGGAAACCCATGACTTCTGGAGCTGCAGCGTACATCTATTTACATCAGCAGGGACTTTGGACATGAGACAGAGCTCAAGCCTTGCAGCCAGAGGGCATGTGCTCCTCGCAGCTTTGGAAAACAGATATGACATCTCCCAGTCTCCCAGGGAAGAGATGCCATTTATGTGAAATACCTGGAGATCCTCAGCTGTGAAGTGCTACACAGTTCAGCATGGGCCACATACATATTCTAGGCTCCTTGGTCAAAGCCACTCAAGGTAAATAATGTGGAGGCATCAAACTGTTCAGCATCACAGGTGCAAGTAATAGGCTTGACTGTTCCTTCCAAACCCTCCTGACCCCTTCTATCCTACTTAGAGAGATCTTTTGCAGTTTGGTGAACACCAAAGCAAACAAGACAACAAAATGCACAGCATGAAGGCCCTGGGACACATCCCAGCATCCACAGCAAGGGCTAGTCACAGACTAAGGAGCTAGGACTTGTCTATCAGTTTGCTCATAACTTTCAGCTCCGCATCTTTTTTCACTTTTTTCTTATTCTGGTCAGAAATTGGAGCTGAAATTTGGCCCTGCAAAAATTGCCTCTCCAAGCATATGAAACAAAAGTATTATTTTTCCTAGCAGCATCTACAAACCTCTGTCATGACCCTACTGCACTAGACATTATGTGAAAATCCCAACAAAAAACGTTCCTATTCCAAAGAGACTAGGAAAGTCCCAGCTGAAGAATATTACACTATGCAACCTAATTTACAGTACACTCTTACTTACAATTTCAGTCATTATTGTCGTGCAGAGCCCTGACTCTGAGGGTATACTACACTAGGAAAAAGTACGCACATTTAAAAAAATGAGGGCAAATAGCTTTTAAAATCCTAAAGGAAACAATAATGTTGTACATAAAGAGGAACAATATGTCAGTATGTACCATGAAGCTAAAAACACATTAAGTCTCATACTTTTAAAACATATTCCTTTTTTGGTTAAACAGGGCCCAACTCTACCTTGGCATTATTGCCCCTGTGTAGAAAGAGGATTTCACATGGGAAGAAGTCATCCCCAGTAAAGGCATGCGTGAGAACAAGCAAGGTTAGAGACGTGCACGAACGAGAGCTCAGAGGGTGTCCACACACAACGACACACACAGAAAGCACCTCGGGAGGCTCACTCTACCTTCACTGCCATGATCTGCCCGCTAGGCATGTGCCGCATCTTCTCCACCACCCCGTACGCACCTCGTCCCAGCTCGGAGATGGGCTCCAGGTCGTCGGCTTTCACCTCAAAGTTCTGCGGGGGAAAAACCCATCAGCGGCAGGAAGGCAGGCGGTGACCGCGCTCCACCACAGCCGTGGCATGCACCAGGAGCCAAGTGCCCCCAAAATCCAGGCCCCTCTCGAGCCACTCCATGAGGCTAGAAACAAAGTCATGGCCCTTAGGGACCATCACAAGGATTAGCTGTTTTGCAGCACAGCTCCGTGGAGGTCATGCTCTACACACGCACAACCAGCCTGTGCCTCTGAGCGCCCCAGACAGGGCGAGAACAAGAAGGACTCATCCCTCTCGGAGCTGCTCCTTTAGGTAGGAGGTCTCCAGGCCTTGTCACCCAACCAAGCCCTGTCCAGCCACACACAGCCGCCTGCATTCTCAGGCTCAGTCCTGCAAGCGCGGGGATGGAAAACACCGAGACAGCTTTCCCCTATGAATTGCCTTCTTTTTTTTTTGGCTTTTTCTTTTTTTTTTTTTTGTTTCCTTCTGTCCTCCTCCCCCAAACAATCATGGAAATATCTCCAAATGGTTTTAAGGTCTGGAAAAGCTTATTTCACCAGACCGGTAGATGGGCCAAATACCAGCTGAGCGTGCCCCATTTTTAAACCACGAAGGATTTATTTTGTCTAGCATTCGAGATCCCTTTCTCCCAGCCTCGCACAAAGGATGACTTTGTTTTGCGCCCTGCATTCTAACCTGCCCTTCTCCTTTCTGCCGCGACATTGTGCAGCGGCTCTATTTTTTGCTTATTATTATTTTTGGATGTTTCCGATGTGCCTTCGCTACTAAAACCGGCCATTCTGTTTGCTGAACGCGCAACCACGTAAGTCAATCACCCTGCAGAAAGAAGCGGGTTATAATGAACCGATTCAGAGCGCATAATCCCACAGCGCGTTTCGCCTGCGCAGCAGAAAGCGCCGGCCGGCGATCCGCTCGCAGCTGTGTCGCCTGGGAAAGGAGCCCTGGCTAAGGCTTTTGTGTGATAGCGGAGATTCGCGCATCTCTTACTGCCCGCCGCCGCCGCCACCCTCGCCGAAAAAGCGCTTTGTCTCTCTCGGGGCCGCTCTTAAATTCAGCAGCAAAGATTAAACGGAGTAGGGAGAAGTGGCTTTCTCTAGGGATCAGGGATAAGGTTGCAAAGGCCTGTGCAAGAGGCGGGCACATCCTGAAGGAACTCAACTAGACAAATACGTAGCGGGTCCATAGGAAATTCAAGCCGTGGCAAGTCGCTGCCTCCGAGGTTGCCACATATCTGGACACACACAAAAAAGCCGGAGCGCTGTGTTTGTGCGCCACTTTGCACCGTCCGACACGGGCTTTCTGCCTCCGTGCACGGAGCCTTTTTGGAGCGCTCCAGCTTTTCCTCGTCCTCGCGACTGTGAGGGGAGAAATGATTTTCTTGGACGAGGCGCTCGCTCTAGCAGCAGGCGTTTTCTCGGCCGCGCTACTGCGCCATTTTGCTCCAGAGGCATCTCCCA